CACGGACCGGTACCGGTCCGAGGCCCGGGGGTTGGGGACCGCTGCTGTAAATCACTACCTTTTAGTTCTTCAGGCAGTGTAGTGCAGCAGGCTGTCTGACCACTCCTCTACTACTTTTAGATGAACACTTTTGTTTTCACTCAGGATCATGTAACCTTATTTAAAGGTGTTTAGTGCCTCAATTTCTTTTAATCTGTAAGGCAGTGTAGTTCACCTTTGGTGCTGTACAAACTGTTAGTTGACCACTTTCAATTTTACTCAGGTTTCTGTGATTTGTTGTACAGCTTTTACAGTAATTTGCCTCAGATTATTTAGTGTACAAATGTTTTCTGAGGATTAAAGACATTTCAACACAGGGCAGAAGAAACTGTCATGGTCTGACAGGCATGGTTACAACAACAGTACAACAAATAAAACCAGCACCGTTACCAAAACAAAAACGGGAAAAGACCCAGGGAAACCGAATTAACGATAAAAACAATAAAAAAAATAACAATAAAAACCGATAAAGACCCTGAAAACCATAAATTTCACCCGAGCCTCAACTCTGGCACCCCAGTGCCAAACGACTACCGGACTATGCTGATGCATCAGATAACTCTGTATTGTTTTTATCTGTGAAAGCTTTAAGGTTCAATCACAGCACATAAATCAGACTGTACAGACAAAAATAATGAAAAAAATAAGTATTAAACAACCTACCGTTACAGAAGAGATCTGCCCATCTAACTTTTTCTGCTTCTGCACTATTGGCAGTAAGATTCTTCAGATAGTGTAGTGCAGCGGGGATTGGTAACACCCCTTTTATACTGTTAGATGAACACTTTCATTTTCACTCAGGATCATGTGATTGCTTGTAAAGGAGTTTAATGCCTGACTTACTTTCACTTTCATTCTGTAAGTCAAGTGTAAACATGAGAATTACAATAACTTCATGTTACACACAAACAGGCAAACAAAAATAATGCTACCCAACTGCGTAATTCAAAGGTTAAATTTAAATAATGTGCAAAAAGGAAGAGAACGATTGTTTTTCTGTGTGGGCTAACCCACTTTCTTTTTGGGGTAGGATTAAGGGTTTTGTCAGTTTCTCAGTTTGGGTTTTGAGTTCTTATGTTATCTCTTGAGAAAATATTTAGAGTTGTAGGATTATTATTTGTTTGCCTTGAGTTTAGTTTGAGTTTTTCTTCAGTCTTGGTCTGTTTTCTTTCCTTCTATGTCACGTCAGGTTCTAGTGTTTCTTTTATATATATAGCACCAAATCACAACAGCAGTCGCCTCAAGGCGCTTTATATTGTACAGTAGATACAGAGAAAAACCCAGCAATAATTTCACCCCCTATGAGCAGGCACTTTGGCGACAGTGGGAAGGAAAAACTCCCTTTTAACAGGAAGAAACCTCCGGCAGAACCAGGCTCAG